TTTTTTTCGGTACAAGAGAAGGAGGCAATAGCCTAACTACTACGCTATTAACACATTACGCGAATAAGACATTCTTATCACATCGTGTGCTAACCAAACCTTCGCGCCTGAAGGAGGCTCGTCCAACCGATGAAAACCGCCAGGCCCATTGGCCGCGAGCGAAGCCAAAAAATCAGCGAGAAAATTATACAGTTCAATCAAAGGGTTTCCATATTAAAAGGGATTGTTAAAGCAGACTGACTGGTAGGCCTAAGGGCCGAAACAATCAAAGGGTTTCCATATTGATGGGCCCATTTTGTCGTAATTATACAGTACATGTGTATTACACGGGTGTTGAAATAATTAATATATATAATATATTAAAGATTTTATTTTTTGAATTTTCTTTAAAATAAAATAATTTTTAGTTTTATATAAAACATCATTTGTGTTTTAATTAAATTGTCAAATTATATTTTTTCATTATAATAATTAAACACATGTATATTAAATGAAAGTGTCAACTCATGATAAATTTTGTATAGTTATATCATAGAAGAATATCAATATTATTTACTATTACATGAGTACAAACATATCTATATATATATTAAATAAATATAAATAATATGGTGATACGTATATGCATAAATGTATAATATGTTTGTTGAATATTAACTTATTAAGTAAAAGCGATTAATTGTTTACTTAATTTGATGTCTAATATATCGAGTGTCGTATCAAGCCTTTTTTTTTTTCAAACGGCATAAACATACTCATAAAAAAGGCCAAAAAGACAATGTACACAGGCGAGCTCGAAGCCGGGGAAATAGAAGGTTACACACACAACTAATGTAACCTAGACAGAATATCAACTAACAAAGCTAGAATGACACCAGCACACTACGACAACAACATTAAACTAGAACCACAACGAAAAAATACATAAACAAAAATACTCCAACAGGGTAATAACAGGAGAATTAAGGCTACAGTAAGGCCAAATCGGGGCCAACGGCCCAAACCAAAAACACATAGACCGCACCAACACAAACACAACGATCACACAACAAAGAAAAACAGAGACATAAGCAACAATAAACGAAAACGGAGCTTTTCCCCTACGAAACGAACTAAACTCAACCAGCAGTGAACGACCGACACAAAGAAAACCTCGAGCACGAGAACCATTATCGAAACTACACAAACGCCTATACAACAGGTGAACTTAACCCCTGAGACAATCCCGAATCGACCCATCTCTAACCGAGAGAGCCACAACCAGCCCCCACGCCAGCCGCACCGAACTCGTCTAATACCACTAGCCAAGCTCGATAGGACCCAATCCCCCGCCGTCTAACACCACTAGCCGACCAAGGAAAAGCGTGAGTGGTCGGGCCCCTCAACCCCAACTGCCGCACCATAACGACACAACAACAGGGATCCCGCCCCACTAATCGGCTCCCGCACCCCCGACACCACCACAAATTGCCGAAGACCAACGACAAATCCCCACCTGAACATGTGAAAACCCCGCTGGAGAGCCACAATCCAGCAGCCACAAAGGAGAACCAAAGGAAGTGCAAAACACTGAGAGCCAGAGCACCAATCGAAGAAAGCGCCTCCAATCGTTAGCCGAACGCCGGCCGGGCGAGTCGCCACCTCCCACCGAGACCCCATCAGCGCCCAGACCGAACCACCACACGCCAAGTAATCCACGGCCACATCGAAAGCGCGCTGCACCAGAAATGGACCAGGCAGTCAAGGACGACCCTTGGCCGATTTAAGCCGTCGCGGAGGAAGGCGAATAGATCGGATTTTGGGAGGCGGGTTTTGCAGAATTGGGGGGAAGGGTTTTAATCTAATGTATTCGATTTCACACCAAGCCTTGCTTTTCAGTTTTTTAACTTTTTATGCAATTATATAATTTAGCTAATTAATTAATTATTTTTATTTGATTGACAACATATCAATTATATTTTAAACAAATATCATTTTTTTAAAAAAAAAATATAATATCATATCATATTATCTTCGAAACGAGCATACGAATATTGGAGATAAAGATTGAAAAATGATTTAAGATGATTGATTTAACGAAGATATGTAATAGAAAAAACTGAAAATAAAAATGAAAGTTTTATGGTAATTATTGATAAAAAAAATATAGGATGAGATAAATGATAATTGTTTGAATGAAGAAAAATATTTAATAAATTATGTAAGAACTATGCCTAATTTGCATTTGACAAGACACCCAAGTCTTATTGTGTATTAATCCAAATCATAGAATTTTGAGTCTATGACAATATGATCTTAAAGCACGCGAGTCTGCCAATTCTCAACACATTCAGAAATTGAAATTATATGTGAGAAGAATACAAAACGTAAGAATGAAAATAGATGCAGATTGCAAGTAAACGACTGCATACTATAGTTTATTTCAAAATCAAATTTTGGGTAAATAAGCTTGATATATATAATTATCATTTTAGTGTTCAGTTTTCTTTTTTCGACAGGCTATATGATATTATCAAATATTTCTTAGAATTTTAATTAATATTTTTATTGTAAATTTCAAATCAAGGATCATCAAAAAGTAATTAATTTGATATATCTCGTATGAAAATTTAGATTTTAGAACCATACAAAATATTATTAGTTTTTAAATATATTTTATATTTCAAATAATTAAGTGTTTTGTAAATTTTAATTATCGTAATGTGAATGAATGTAAGTTTAGACATGTATAAATTATTATGAAGTAGTTAACACATATACTTTCGAAAATCGATACCACTACAAAAAAAAACTCTTACATTCCAACGGAAATTTTTCGTTGGAATTCTTTATATTTTCCGTTGGAATAGCTATTCCAACGGATATTCCTACGTATAAAAGTTCGTGGGAAAACGACCGTTGGAATAGCTAAAATCCAACAGAAAATTCTGTGGAAATAAATTCATGCAGCTATTCCAACGGAAAAAATCCGTTGAAATTCCTCAACCATCCAACACTTATTCCAACATAAAATTAAGTTTGTTGGAATATTCATTGGAATTTCCAATGAAAATTTTTGCCGTCGGAATTTTTCGTTGGAATTGAAGTATTTTCTTGTAGTATACAAGAATTATGAAGTATCAGAATTTAGTACTTTCACCCATATTTTGCAAATGAAGAGTATATTGGGGATGATGATTTTGAAGGGATGATGTCGATAATGATCGATAGCATCATTTTTGAGATTTTGGACGATATTTTTTATAGTGTCACTTATTTTTTTTTTTTCAATTTTTTTATGAACTTATTTCGGTCTTATGAAAACCCAATGCGATTCTGGATTTTTTTGAAAGAAATCTACACTTAACGGTGAAGGTAATGTTTGGAAATAGAACAATCTATTCTATCGAGTATCCTCGATTAATACAACCTCATATGTTACTTTTCAATTTCCGATTTTCGTATTGAGTGAAAGGTTACACCTTGAGGGGCTCTTTGTTAGGGTGCTACCCTACTCCACTAGGATCGATGGACATCGATGACCATATCGATAGCATCATATTTGATATTTTGGACCATTTTTTTTATAGTGACATTGTTGAGGTTAGTAATCTTATTGCCTATAGTAATGATAGCGACCCTATTGATGCTAGTGACCTTGAGACGGAACTAGAACTGATACATGAGGATACGTGGGTAGGTGGGTGGGGCTAGGAGGCTCGGGACTAGATCGAACTTGTATCACCTTGCAATTCGAATTAGCACAAGTACTGTCTCTTGTATAATATGGATTCCAAACATTAACGATTAAAAACTAAATTCATGTATCTGGAGGACAATTTCTTTCACATCTAGTATAATAAATATTTTCTCGTCTAGTAAGTGATAAATTTTGTAGGGCAAAAAGATCCATTTCTTAATTTCTAAAATATTTAATTAATATGTATCTGTATAAATGAGCTATATCGAGTCGAGCATTAACCTTTATCTTAGTCAAATTCGACTCGAGAAAAGAGTACAAATGTTTGAGATCAGTTCAAATTTTATTAACCCAGTTTACTCAAATTTTGTCCTTGTTATAAATAAAAGGAAAATCATTCAAATAAGATTTTTTGTTGACTTTGTCTAGTGTATAGCTCGGGTTTTAACTCGAGTTAATAATATCTAGGTAAAATGCACTTATAATTGAGTGGCTCATCAAACACTCGAAGTTATAACATACAGACTAGAGCTCAAGTTCAAGTCATGGTCAAATCGAGCACGACTCGAGTCTCCTTTTGAACTGCTCGTGATTCGGTCAATTCGTTTTCACTTTCCACCCATAATCACATCTATGGAGATATGCTTTACATTGTAAAGTGCAATACGTGATGTTATTACAATTTTGTTTTGAGTCAATTACACATTATATTCATACAGTAATGCTCACCTACCCACGGTAGGTATATGTTAATATGTCCACACTGCTTATGTGGCATGCACACATTGATGATGTTTTAACATATTAACATCATCAATGTGTGCATGCCACATAAACAGTTGACATATTAACATGTGTCCAAACGTGAGTACGGGAGCATTATTCTATATTCATATTCATGCCATAATTCTAATTTCTAATCACACATCATTAGAAGAAAATAAATATACAACGCATGTTAATTTTTTGTCTTTTTTGTTTGAGTAAACATTTTTTGTCCAAAGCGTGAGTGTGGTAATCATTCATCAAACGAAAATCCTTCCCTAATTCTACGGCCGCCCACAAGACTTCAATGTACAAATTCAAGAAATCTCACTAATAAACACGAAAAAAGATCAAACAAATTTCAAGATTCGAGAAAACCCATTTCTCGATTTTTCGTCTATATCTCCGTTATCCGAAGAATATTTATTCCTCTTTTTGCTGCTTCAATTTTCTGTAAAATATGGCGAATTACGAGCGCATACCAAATCGGGAGCAAGAAGCTGAGACGAAGCCCGAGGCGAAATTCTCCTCCGTCGGGAAAGGCGAAGGAGCTCCGCCGCCCGGGGTGTCGATTGGATGGCCGGCCAACGGGATGCCGGTGGCTGATCCGGCGGCGCAGAGGTCCGAATGGGAAACCGGGCTTTTCTCCTGCCTGGGCAAAAATGATGAATTTTACAGCAGTGATCTTGAAGTTTGTGAGTTTTTTTTGCCCTTCTTCCCCTTTCTCTTTTCAATCCCTTAATTTTGATTCGTGTATAGTTTCAAGACTCGATTTTTATGCATAGGCCGATGAGGAATTGTTAGAATATGCATCAACATTAGAAATTCTGGTTATCGGTAATGCTCCCTATTCACGGTGGACACATGTTAATATGTTTACCGTTTATGTAGTATGCACGCATTGGAGATGTTAACCAAAAGATGTGTATGCCACATGAGCGGTGTGCATATTAACATGTGTCCACCGGATGATTACTTGTTATGTGTTTGTAGTTAGTCCATTTGAAACTGATGGACATGAGCTTCTTTTCTTTATCTATTTTATAACTTGTTATCTCTCCCATTTCGAAAAAGGTAGAAAATGCGAATTCTTGGCTTTAGTTTTGCTTCTGGTTTCGCTTTTACATTTAAAAAAAAAAAAAAAACATTTCGACTTGTTTTGCCAGACTTTCATTTCAACATCTTCAACTTTTGGATTTGACAAGCAATGTGCAAACACAACCAACTCCTAATTATCGACCATTATACTTTAACGAGCAGGTTTATTGGGCAGTGTTGCCCCATGTGTGCTCCATGCTAGTAATGTCGAGAGGCTTGGATCAGGACCCGGTACTTTCGCCAATCACTGCTTGCCTTACACTGGCCTATACTTGCTCGGCAATTGCCTTTTCGGCTGGAACTGTCTTGCACCTTGGTTTTCGTACACCAATCGTACAGCCATACGCCACAAGTTCAACTTAGAGGTTAGTAGTCTCGATTTTATAACTTTGTTGGCCACTCCCCTTTTTTACATTATAGCCAATTTTGTTTTGATTGTTGTTAGATTATGGATGCCATTAAAGCTATGTTTGGTAAACCCAATTGTGAATTTCGAGCTTATAGCTGATAGCTTATGATTTGTGGCAGAAAAGCTAGCTTTTAAGATAAAAGTGTTTTGGTAAAATTAGCTGAAATAGAATTTTCAGTGGGCTTAGGCTAAGTTTGGTAAAATTAGTTGATAAGCTAACTGATAGCTGATATAAGTGATTTTTGAGCTTATAGTTTATAACTTATGACTTATAGCTGAAAAACTAGTTCATATGATAAAAGTGTTTGGTAAAATTAGTTGATAAGCTAGATGAAATAAAAATTTCATTAGGCTTACTTTAAAAACTACTCAAAGAAGCTTATTAGATGAACTCGAGCTTTTTTTTTATAAAAAAACTCGTCATACCAAACCAGACTTATTTGAATACTGGAAGCTTATAGCTAATTAAATAAGCTTTAAGTTAGCTTGTATGCTTACCAAACACAACCTAATTATTGGAAGTTCTTCGAATTTTGACCCGTATGACTTAACTATTTGCATTAAAGTTTAGTTTCCTTTCGAGGTGAAAGGAATGTAAAAAACGTGGGGAAAATGTTGTTTGGCACGGCAGGGCAGCTTGGGGAAGTATGTGATGGATGAGATTCAGCACGAGCAATGTGAGGCATCGTGTGATTTTTGCACGCATGTGTTTTGCCACCCGTGCGCACTTTGTCAGGAGGCTCGTGAGGTTCGTCGTAGGTTGCCACATCCCGGGCTTCCCACACAACAGCCTGTCTTGGTCATGATCCCGCCTGGCGGACAAGCTATGGGTCGTGCGGTTTAAGTCTTACCGTTTGGCGTTCATATACGATTTCAAATACTCGCTTTTTTTTT